GTATAGTATGGAGTCCTATATATTCTAGTTTGTTTTAAACAATGGGATGTGCAGTTGGTCATATGGATAACAGCTCGGAATGGAAATAAGTTCGAATTTCAGTCGGATTCATTACATTAAATTACGCACAAATATAACTTCCCCATCTATGGGCTAAATAGTTGGATTTGTATGTAGAAAAATCATTCTTAATCTAAAAAACAAATTGTTTATGCAATATTCATTTGCAAAGAAATTAGTATCCTTGCAATACAAAAAATCTGTTTCTGCTTTAAAATAGCACACAAAAAGCAACCAATCAATTTATACATTATACACAGAAAGAGTTTAATAACAACAACTAATACTAAAATATAACAATAGGTTGCAATAAAACTTGTTTAATGGACAGACTTTTTTTTTATTGTATACTTTAACAACTTAATCATATTCCGAGGGGCTGGGGTGAGGAGCGCAGAAACGAAGGTATGCCGCCGGGGAGAAGCATGATCAACGGGCAGAAAACGAAAAGGCGACATCAGTGCAGAGCCTCTTTGCGTGCATACATTTCAATCGAGACTGTCACTCTCGTTTAGGCTTGTACAGACATAACAGATGCTGCACCGCCATCAGCAGCTGAGGCATAACACTTTGGGCGCAGGTCCAAGATTTATCGAAATCTATGAATACTACACACACATATACAAACATATTATATATATATATATATGAACTCACACTCTTTGGGTCCTGTAACTGGATCTAACCAACGCCTTTATATATATATATATATATATATATATATATATATATATATATATATATATATATATATATAGATAGATGTGGCACAAGGCCGAAAGTAAGGCGCACCAAGTGAGGCTCGAACTCACTACTCATTCGTAATTCTTTTAGCAAGACAAGCTTGCTAACCATTAGACCACCTCGAGGTGCACCGAAAGTATTGAATTTCTAAGCGTTGCTTAGATGTGGCACAAGGCCGAAAGTAAGGGGCACATGAGGAGGATCGAGCTTGCTATTCAGTCGTAACTGTTTTAGCGAGACAAGCTTACTAACCATTACACCACGCCGAGGTGCCCAACATCTGCTCGGTACATATCCTACCGAACCATAAATCAAGCTAAAATTCATGAAGTCACAAGGCAACAACCTGTCCCTTTTATGATACTAGGGGACTTTAACTGTCACAGCACAATATGGGGTTATAAAGACGGAAACCAAAAGGGAAGGACATTATAAACAATAATTTATAACAGCGATTTATACATTTATAATGATAAAGCCCCGGCTACTCGGCAATAGACTTATCCCTATGTGATCCATCATTTTATATGGATTTCCCTTTTAAGGTACAGGCAGACATATGCGATAACGAACATTTGCCAATAGTCCAACAAAACTCAAAACATAACGAGAAAAATCTTCTCCGTTGGGAATTAGGTGGAAAGAACTGAGAAGAATTTAAAAACCAATGTTTCTGAAGAACTAGTTGAAAGAAAAAAACATCAAGGGCTTGAAACATTTCACGGAAATCTTCATCTCTATAGCAAATGAAAGAATTCCTAAATATTATGAACAAAAAAAAACGCAACATTTATTGGTTCAATGAAAAATGTAAAAATGCCATTAGGCGAAGAAAAAGAGCTTTGACTGAATTCAACAAACAACCTACTCTACTGATAAATCATCAGTTACCTCCCCTTGAGATCTAGGAGGTATCAAAGCACTCTGTACAATCCGTCAGTAGATGAGTAGTCAGAGTAAATGTTTTAGTGGAACACACCTATTCTATAGTTAATAGACTCTCCCACCTATAAGTAGGAGTAAGGGAGTCGCTCAGTGAGTTAGTCAGTCAGTCGATGCCGGACGACCATTAAAGTATCAGCCACCACAACTAGATTTCTCTGCGTCATTACCTATTATATCAAGTTCCTAACGTTTTGTACGTCGAATCTATTTTAGGACAGACTTAGTACAAATAAAAGCCTCCACTGTGAAACCACAGTAAAGTGCAATAAAGCGTTGGTATAAGTTTATTTACTGGTTCTGTTTTTACTACACTTACAACCTCGAATTTGCTACTATTCTAGCAACTCCGAGAAGAAGCACGTAACATAATTAAGGAAACTAAAAAATAATGCCGGAAAACTATGTCAACAGACACAGGTCTGCTGCAAAATCAAAATCCAACTGGGATATGTTAAAGAAAATAACAAATTTTGTAAAACACCTCGCGCTAAATAACACTGAAATAACCAGTAAAAAGGATATCGCTGACCAAGTAGCCAAAACCATGTCTAAAAATTTATCTGGTAAGAATTGTAGCGGAAACACAAATACTAAACTTTAAATCAAATAATGCCAAGAGCTACCATTCACTCTGGAGTAACTAAACGAATCGTTAAAGAAAGCCCATAATACAACTGTAGGCCCAGATCATCTCTCTTTACAAAAATACTTCAATGAAACTTGACTTACAAACGGATATCTTACAAAAAATACTCTATTTTGACAAATCTATTGTAAAAATCTTATCGGCATTAAATAACCAAAAAAAAACAAAAAAAACAAAACAAAACAAAGCAATCCAAAACAAGGTAAAATATCCATATAACGTTACATTTAACACAAGAAATATCAAAGTTCGCGATGCATGAAAATTTATTCGCAAAAATGTGTTGATTTTCCTCAAAGAATTCGAAACAAGAAGTTAGAAAAGAATGACGTCCAGAAACTAACAAAAGGAACCCAGGTGAATTAGAAAACCCCAAACCCATAAACCGAAACTACAGCAGACAATACAAATGTATTGTCGATTTAATTACGTGGGTTAGGGTTACTCAACGGATATTTTGGAAAAGAGGTCCTTGTAATAATTTCAATAGCTTCACATAACTAATACATCAGAACCAAATTTACTTGATTTATGATAGACAAGATACAACAAATACAACTCGTTTGAAGACAGATAAAATAAATCATTTCATAAGGGAATATAACAAAGCAGAACTATAAAAATAAATGCGACTCGGTAGGAAAAGTGTGCCAACCGTTCAAGTTCGACTATACAAATGTGATAAACACGAGATAATAGATTTTATATTCGGATTTTGAAATGAAAAAAAAATTTTTGTAAAAAACATGAAAAACCTATTAAATAAAAATCTGCTGTCCGAGTTGATGAATATAAGTGCCTAACAAGAAGAGATTTCAGAAAGCTGTGATATATGGAGTTAATTTTAGAGAATTGTTCGGACAATTTCATTTTTCTAAAACTCTTACAAACCAGATGATATAGGGAGAGAGCGTGACATCCATTATTCTCTTCGTTCAGTTATCAGTTAATGGACTTCAGATGGAGATTGGGAAAATTGACAGAATCGACATCCAACAACTTGACGGCTACATAAATAAGTTATGCCTATGGCAATTTTAATGTGGTGAGAATTTTCTTATTCGACAGGGTTAACACTGCGAATTCCTTACTTGACAAAGAAAGAACTCATATCTCTGATTATGGAATAACGTGAATGCCATGCCATAATATTACAAGCGTTGCTGTGAAAGTTTTGAATTACCTGAATAAGGCCTTAGAATTGATCGGCCAAGATCTCAGGAGAACAATAAAAATGGCTCATTAGTTCAGTGCTGTTGCAGAGACAATTGGATATATTATTGTCGTGAAACAACCTCAAAGAGACACTTTAAAATGGCTAAAAATATTGAAACATATAAATAACAGAAAAAAGTATTATTATAGATTTGAACGGTACGTTTTTTTCCTGAATAATAATAATAATAATAATAATTTTTTGTCAGTGGAAAGTGTCATGAGGCCATTTCTAACCTTAGGTCCCTGGCGTTTTGGAAAGGATTCCATAATAATTATGATATTTGGATTTTGGCGATCCAAAACATTTGAACACCTCTTTGTAAAATTCCTGGGAGTCCCGGAGATTTTTAAAAAAATGTTCAAAAATCGACATTTGTATCTCATTCAATAATTATCAAAATGCTTGATTTCTTGAATCGATTTGTAAGTCGTCAACTGAGACTTATTCGAAAGGAATATTGTAATAAATATATAATCATTTTATATGGGATTTATGGGAACTTCTTTTTCAAAATTCCTGATTTTGAAAACATGACGAATAAAGAATGGAAAAGAAGGACGGTAAATAATAAACTCCTTTTCTACGGTCTGAAAAGATAAATGAAACTAATAAGACTGATATATATTTGCTTACGGCCAGACTACGTTCCCGTAGGATCACCGAAGTTAAGCAACGTCAAACTTGGTCAGTACCTAGATGGGTAACCGCTTGGGAATACCAAGTGATGTATGCACTCTAATTTGGCTTACGACGGTATCACGTTGAAACTCCGTTTCCCGTAGGATCACCGAAGTTAAGCAACGTCAAGCTTGGTCACTACCTAGATGGGTAACCGCTTGGGAATACCAAGTGATGTATGCACTCTAATTTGGCTTACGACCGTATCACGTTGAAACACCGGTTGCCGTACGATCACGGAAGTTAAGCAACGTCAAACTTGGTCAGTACCTAGATGAGTAACCGCTTGGGAATACGAAGTGGTGTATGCACTCTAATTTGGCTTACGACGGTATCACGTTGAAACTCCGTTTCCCGTAGGATCACCGAAGTTAAGCAACGTCAAGCTTGGTCACTACCTAGATGGGTAACCGCTTGGGAATACCAAGTGATGTATGCACTCTAATTTGGCTTACGACCGTATCACGTTGAAACACCGGTTGCCGTACGATCACCGAAGTTAAGCAACGTCAAACTTAGTCCAGTACCTAGATGGGTAACTGCTTGGGAATACCAAGTGATGCATGCACTCTAATTTGGCATACGACCGTATCACGTTGAAACACCGGTTTCCGTACGATCACCGAAGTTAAGCAACGTCAAACTTGGTCACTACCTAGATGGGTAACCGCTTGGGAATACCAAGTGATGTATGCACTCTAATTTGGCTTACGACCGTATCACGTTGAAACATCGGTTCCCGTACGATCACCGAAGTTAAGCAACGTCAAACTTGGTCAGTACCTAGATGGGTAACCGCTTTAGAATACCAAGTGGTGTAAGCACTCTAATTTAGCTTACGACCGTATCACGTTGAAACACCGGTTCCCGTACGATCACGGAAGTTAAGCAACGTCAAACTTGGTCAGTACCTAGATGAGTAACCGCTTGGGAATACGAAGTGGTGTATGCACTCTAATTTGGCTTACGACGGTATCACGTTGAAACTCCGTTTCCCGTAGGATCACCGAAGTTAAGCAACGTCAAGCTTGGTCACTACCTAGATGGGTAACCGCTTGGGAATACCAAGTGATGTATGCACTCTAATTTGGCTTACGACCGTATCACGTTGAAACACCGGTTGCCGTACGATCACCGAAGTTAAGCAACGTCAAACTTGGTCAGTACCTAGATGGGTAACCGCTTGGGAATACCAAGTGATGCATGCACTCTAATTTGGCATACGACCGTATCACGTTGAAACACCGGTTTCCGTACGATCACCGAAGTTAAGCAACGTCAAACTTGGTCAGTACCTAGATGGGTAACCGCTTGGGAATACCAAGTGATGTATGCACTCTACTTTGGCTTACGACCGTATCACGTTGAAACACCGGTTCCATGAATCCACCTCTTCCCCTCAGCTATGGGTTAATTAGTAAGACTTGTATCTCTAAACCATTATTATCTCCCAAAATAAAACTAAATTTTGTGTAAAAATATTGAGATTTCAACAGGAACCCTTTGAGCCCTACGTCCCTGAAAAACTTTACCACTTGTGCCTGAGCTCCTGATTCAAAATTAGGTGTGGAGGGTTTCACGATAAACATTAAAAATAGTTACACGTGTTTACCCGCAATTCAAAAGATGGCTGGGCATTAAGTCATTTTTCTCTACCACTGTTCAAGCGGTGGCTAGGCATTAAGTCATTTTTCTCTACCACAGGTAAAGTAGTGATCAGGGATCAAAGTGTTAAATATATTGCTGGGCATTAAGTCATTTTTCTTTACCACTGTTCAACCGATGGTTGACCATTAGTCCATTTTTCTCTACCACTGTTCAGCCGATGGCTGGGCATTAAGTCATTTTTCTCTACCAAAGGTAAAGTGGTGGTAAGGGCTCGCAGTGCACAATAATGCAACAGATTCCCATAACACAGATGATATATTTTAAAGCATCAATACTTGATCTAACTTAAAATTTTGTATTATTTTAGCTTAGTTTCTGATAGCAACCATATAACAAACCTGACAATATCCCAACAATAAATCTTCTTCTTGTCAATATGACGTATAGAATAGGCAAGATAATTTTTGTATATTTTTGATTTTGTTTTCCTGAGGTATAACCTGAAACCTTTTTTTCACTTGTAATTATGTTCGCTTTTTTGTTTTTGTTTTTGTTTTTTCACCATTTTATTGGCATCGAACTCTGAAATATCATTTCTCTCTCCTTTATGACTTTAGGTCTTTGCTGCGGGCTCTTTGATTTACACTGATCAATCTTGATACAACATTTTAGTTTATCTTTCTTATATTCCTCAAGCAAAGAACCGAAAATTAATAACCAATCTATTGTATTTAGAAAGATCAATACATTTTTCCCCGCAAGAAAATATGTGCGTGTCACCTGCTAAAGTTTTATACTCTTCGAAATGGATGCATCACCTTGCTGAGAAAAAAATATCCTTATCGGAATTGTTATTCAAGCAAGATTTCGCTTCGTCAAAAAGGAGGAGAAAACAAATATTATCGTTAGAATATTTTATTAAATTAAGAAAAGTATTGAATAAAATGAAAAAAAAATATATAGGAAAAATGTATTATTTCTAACGTTAAACTCAATTTAAAAATTAGGTCGCATCATAGATAGAAGTGGTAATGTTATGCTGACGTTTTGAAGTAGCGGACGAGATCTGAAACGAGACTTCAAACATTTACATTATTATATAGCAACTGTACCATTTTTAACGACAGTGTCTTCACATCTGCCTGGAGATACAGCCATCGTGGCATTTAAAATTCTTCTGGTAAAAATATTTTCAAAATCTAATTTGTATCTCTGAAATGAATATTATGATTACTTGCATTATTTTCATTATTCGGACTGTTATCCTCATCTTTATTGCAATATTCACAACGTTTCGGCCTCTATATCTCTGAGATGGGGTATTATGCTTATTTACATTATACGGACTGTTATCATCATCTCCTAGCCATATTTACAGCGTTTCGGCTTCTATATCTCTGAGATGAGGTATTATGATTACTTTGCATTATTTACATTATTCGGACTGTTATCCTCATCTTTATTGCAATATTCACAACGTTTCGGCCTCTATATCTCTGAGATGAGGTATTATGCTTACTTGTTACTGTTATCCTCATCTCCTAACTATATTTACAGCGTTTCGGCCTCTATATCTTTGAGATGAAGTATTATGATTACTCGCATTATTTACATTATTCGGACTGTTATCCTCATCTTCATTGCCATATTCACAACATTTCGGCCTCTATATCTCTGAGATGAGGTATTATGATTACTTGCATTATTTACATTACTCGAACTGTTATCTTCATCTTCATTGCCATATTCACAACGTCTCAGCCGTTATACGCATCGGACTTCTTCAGGTGGTTGGAATTTCGAACCGGAACCTCTGTTTCCTCCGCCGGGGTAGATTGGCACGTGGAACTAGAACAGTCTACCCCGCTGGACGAAATAAAGCGTTAGGTTCAAAATCCCAATCACCTGAAGAAGGCCGGAGCGTAAAACCGAAATGTTGTGAATATAGCAATGAAGATGAGGATAACAGTCCGAATAATGTAAATAATGCAAGTATTCTGAAAATGTATTGGTGTCTTTATTCATTGAGTTTTCACAACTGGTGGTTTCTCTTTGCCTTTCAATTGACATCAAATCCTAGTTAGTCGGGAATCTTCAATAATATTTTAGCTAATAACGACGTCAATTCAATTTCTTCACAAATCTTTTTTAGGACTGTTCCAAGTGCTCCAGTGATGACGGAACAACTGTCACATGGTATTTAAATTATTTTGCAACGTGTAGCTTTCTTTCCAGATTTTTACATCGTTCACATTTCCTATGATTTGAGGAAGGACTAAAATACACAAGCTGATCAACTGCTCTTTTTCTTGACTAACTATACCCAGTCTTCTAGAATGAAATTGGGAAACTTAGAGTCTAAATTTATAATGTTAATTTTCTTATAGAGATTCTGTTTTTGATAGCTTTGGTTATTAGGGTCCGATTCTAAACATTTTCATAATACACATCATTGCTACATCATTATAAATACATCACTTATACTTCATCAGTCTCAGACTCGATTAGTATGGGATTGACAGCCTCATCTTATTATTCAATCTTGTCTAACTTAGTACTAACTAAATTATTCTCCAGTTTTTGTCATGAAAGGGAATTTGATGTCTATAGTTTAAAGTAATTCAATTTTAAAATACGGCTTTTCACTTGAGTTGACATAGCGCGAAATTTTAATTAATATTTATGTATTTTTTAGTATTGCTAACACTAAATTTTAAAAAAAGTGCAATAAATTAGACTTTAATATAAATTTACTTTTAATAAATATAAAAAATACAACGCAAGTATATACTCACAAAATAATTTGCACAGTTTATTTACAAAGTACTGTGAATAATAGTGAGTTTGACCAGTCGGTGATGGGAACAATCTAACGATTAGGTTACTTGAAAATAATCCACATTATACAACAAAACATTCCAACAAACTTGATTATGCTAGTCTTTGGGAGAGACTGGTATATGGTTTTTAATATTTGTGTATAAATAACCTGGATGATTTTTGATCCTTTTTCTACATTGTTTATTGCAATTAATCTATTTAGTTATGTCTTGATAAGTGTAGTAGCATTTTGATCTTAAATCCGAATGTGCTATAAAGGATTACATTCAAAATTTTGTGATAGTTTGATTTAATATAACAAAAATATTACATTTGTCACTCTACCTGATTATAATATTTTTGCATTTCTTTTTATTTAGAAAGCGTCTCCTCATATAAGTTTATTCCTATATTTTAATAATAATCAACAAGCAACATTAAATACTTATATTGGCAACACATGCACTAAACTTTCGTAGAATAACTTGTCATTAGTCGTAACTTGTTTTGGTTCAGCTTATTTTATTTTACGGCATGACAACAGTTCAATGGGTAATTTAATGTCGACAAGATTTTGAGGATAGGTTCGCTTGAATAGAATGTGTATTCATTGTAAAAACTCAATTTGTAGATCAGGTTTATTGAAGTATTTTTGTAAAGATGATTTTTGTCGAATATCAAATGTATTGTTGCTAATATTTTTTTTCAAAAATGTATTACTGGTATTTTTACTATAAAAATCTATTTTTATACTTTCATTTTGCTTTGACCACATTTTGGGGGTTAACTATTTGTCCATTAATAGATAATACCAAGTCATAAGCATTAGAAAGTTTACCATTTTTAACTTTGACCTAAAACAAATTAATTTTAAAAGTTGGACCAGCATACCTTGTCAGTATTGTCCAGTTATTAAGAAATATGTGTGTCTGCACACACGCACACACACACACACACATATATATATATATATATATATATATATATATATATATATATATATATATATATATATATATATATATATATATATATATAGAGAGAGAGAGAGAGAGATAGAGAGAGAGAGAGGATAGAATCCAGGTAGAACTCAATGTCCAGAACAGAGTAAGAATATAATAAAAAATGCTAAAACACTAATATTCCATTGTTATAAATGATTACATTGGAATCGTAATCACGATCCAATTCATCAGACCTACAATTTCAAAAAGAAATCGGAAAATATTTAACTCCACTCTCTAAAACTTCTCTTTGTTAAATTTTAATCCCCACCTTCACCTTTAGGTCTTTTGTTTTCTTCTTTCTTCTATTACACCCCCTCTCTAGAGCTTTCATACATTTCCCTCTCACACTTGGTTCCCACTCCCACACATACACTCTCACTAAAATTTTGTTTTTTATACTCGGAGTTATATTTTCCGATTTCCTTTTTAATTTGTAGGTCTGATTAATATATATTGACCACTAATATTATCTATCTATCTATCTATCTATCTATCTATCTATCTATCTATATATGTCTGTGTGTGCGTGCGCGCACGTGTGTATGTATGTAGGTATGAATAAAAAGACAAGAGGCAAAAAACTATTCTTTTCTGAGGTACTTTTTCAAGGCAAATGTCAGATTTACCTTGACAAAGTACCTCAATCAATTCGCCTGAGGGAAAGAGAAAATGTAAAACACCACTGGGAGTGAAAAAGAATGAGAAAACTTCAGAAAACCTGGAAAATCAATGCTAAAGAGGAAACAAAGGATAAACCACTTCTCCTGTTCA